TAATACTGGGTGGTGGACACATAGTTTCCTGTTCTCTATACTGTGTGAATATTTCAAACATTTGAAAAGAATAAAAAGGATCAAGAAAAGGGAAAATATGCTGGATATAAAGACAGGCATCTTGAAGTTCAGGGAGTGGCTGGGGGGATGAAGATAAAGGTTCTCAACCCCTGAGGTTCCCTTTCCTCTTAGCTAAACAAGAGAAGGAGATGTTCTAGCATTACAGATTGTCCCTTAAAGAGTTAATTTTGAGAATGGTGAACATATGACTAATTTAACTCCATGGCTCATGGAGTATTTTGATTTTAAAAGGTCACTCCATCCACATCCTAGAGTGGAAGGAATTTCCTTTTCTCTGGGACTAACGTTCACTCCTTTCAGCCAAGATCTGCTATGGTTGGGACAGTCTTCCTGATGCCAAGGGTGGTGTCGCTGGGCACATACTCCTACTTCTGAGTGCAAGCCTTGAAAATAGCCATCAGAAAGAGTCATAAGAGCGTTCAGGCTTCCTTCAGGGGCTAGCCTCTTTCTGTCGTCTGAGGATCTCCGTGTTCTGTTCCCTTATGTGTCACCCAAGTGTGGATGCCCTCCCGCTGTGGCTTCCCTTGGGCATGGTTCCATGGGCTAAATCACATATGGGGTGCATTCAGCCCCAGCAACCTCCCTCAGAGCATCTGCACACAACTGGAGCCAGGCGTGGCACATGGGCTAGGGGAGTCTCATCATTTATTTTCCAGGTTGTAGCGAGGCAGTACAAGAAGAGGTACTGCATACTGACACTAGGGAGTCTCCGTTCCACACTCTTAGCCAGGAAATATACAAGAGGGACATTTCAGTTCCAAGTACATTTCAGCATCCTGTGGAACCCTTTGTAGCATGCTTGCCAATGTAAGGATATGGGATCCTTGGGTCAAGTCATGTCCCATGAAATAGAATGGCTGTACAAAGAGGCCTGCTAGCTAGCACTTGACAGCCTTTGGTCAGGTGCCTTAGACGTGTGAGCAGTGTAACACAGCTTGTGATGGCGATCTAGTGCCACCTTCTCCCCAGTAGCAGTGTTGTGCGTGGTCTTCAGCGTGTTTTCTCACTGGGAATTTTATTTCCAAACACAATGCCCTCTTACCCACGCGGTTGAGTTCCTGAACTATCTCTACTTTCTGTTATAGGTTTGTCCCTTGGATGTAGGTGCTTAGCCCCTTCTTTATAATTGTTAACCATGACTAGAGGGAGCATAGGTTTGGTCATTACAGGGACAGTCAGCAAAGCTTGGCTGAGATGGCGTTGCCTGGCCTTCAGCGCACAGCCTGGAACCTAGCGCTGGTTTTGTGTTTATTGTAAAGTTTTAAACTCTAAGACAGACCATGCAAGTATTGTGGATAAGTGGAAGGGGCCAGGTAGACGATCATAGGGAGTGGTAGAGTACATGGAAAAGCCGAGAACACATGCCCTATCTAAATTGAGTGGCCACCATGTTGCTCTGATTAGCACTGTGCAGAAATAGCTGGCCCAGCATTGCCAGAACTCTTGGATTTTCAAAGGAAGCTAGAAATGTGGAAATTTTAAATGTGAAATTTCCCAAGTTTTAAATGTTGGCAACTAAGTAAAAAATTTTAAAAAGAAATTGTGCTGAAAAAAAAAAAGACTCATCCCCGAGCCACATATGGCCTATAGGTTAGGTTTGCAACCTCAGAATAAAAGAAGAAGACATAGGAGAATTTCAAACAAGCTACATCGTGGCCAGCAAGCCTAGGCATTTGACTCTCACCCACCAGGGTCATTGCTACCAGCCTTCTGTTATATCTAATGGCAGGAGAAGAAAGAACATAAATTGAAAACAGAGCAGTAGTCACATCAGGAGCCAAAGGTACAGACCAAAGGTCCTATCCCAGGGATAACTAGGACTCCCTGGTGACCTTCCTTCCATGACTCCACACAAGCAGAAAATGAAGCAAGAGATATCTTTGGTGGGGCTTTTCTTTACCCTAATGCACTCTTTCCTGTCCCTTCTTGTTCACTCCGTGGCCTAGGGGAGGGTACTGGGGAGAGAGTTCTTCTGGGCACCATGCTTGGCTTCCTAGGGGGTATTCTCAGCTATTCCACACTCTTGCTATGGGTGTGACCATGTTCTGGGTAACTGCTTTTCTCTTCAAACTCATTATCATCTCTCTTTGATCAGGTTTACTCTTCATCCTTCCTGAGCTGCACTCAATGGAAGTGCCATCAAAATGAAGGAGTCCATGTGTAGATACAGCTTGGGTTTCCTTACTTGAAAGGTCCCAGGCCATGCAAAGTGCTACTGTAAGGGCAGTGCAGAAGATGAAGCAGCCTGGGGGAAGGCCAGACCAGGCAGCTGCTGGAGGAAGGCAAGGGTGGGCGTGGGAATGCTCATCTCCCTGGCTAGGGAAGCTGTTAGTGAGGAAAAATGACTCTGGCCTTCCATCTGGGCCTTGCAGAGGGAGCCATATATAAAGTCCTGCCTCCCCTGGAGAATGTCCCCACCACTGCTGCCTTGACCTCCATCTCAGCCTCTTTTCCCTGGATGTTGATTTTCAACAAATGGAAGCCATTTTGGAAAGTAGTTACAAGGACTTTGGGGTTGTGTAGAGCTTGGGTCAGTATCAGACTCTGCCACAAAGTGAACTTGGTTGGTTGGTTTTTTAAATATATTATTGAGCCTTAGTTTTCCCACGTTTAAAATGGAGTTAATAATTTCAGCCCTTTAAGGATACTGGGCGATGCTGAATTAGCCACAGGCAGGACCTGGCACTGTCCCTAACTTACATAGAACTTTGGATGCCAAGGTGCTCAGTGATGCATCTGATGGTAGGGTTGTTAACAGCTGGACATTAGCTGGGGGCTCCCTTCTTCAGTCCATGCCTTCCTGCAGCATGGTTCAAAACCTCTCACTTCTTCTTGCCCCATTGGGGAAAGTGGGGAGTCTGTGGAGAGAATACCCCCTGGCTGGGGCACAGTACAGAACAGGCTTCTTGCCCTCCCTTCTGTCTTGTTGTTCTGTCTTGTCCTGCTTTCTCTCTCTGGACAAGGTCTGAATTGCTCTGAGCCTCCGGTTTCCTACAAAGGCACGCATGACCTCAGCTTACAGGACTCCTGTGTATTTCAGCCCACTCTTGAGTATAAAGTGCTTTTCTCATGTAAGTGCTAAGCACTCGTGTGATGTAACAACTTGAAGATGACAAACGAATACATTTGAAGAGGAAATGTTGGAAAATAATCCAATAGAGCTCCATTTGGTATTGGGCCTTTTATCAAGGCCATAACCAAAACCACTTTATGGAGTTAGGTAATGAAATTATCATGTCAGATAACAAAAGGAAGAAGCAGGGACAGAGAGGGAGGCCTTGAGAATCTGAAGCTGTGTGAGAAGTGTGTAGGCAGAGAAGACGCAGAGAAGTTCTCGCTAGCAGGTGCCAGAAAGCTGGGGGCTCTAGGGTGCTGAGGCCAGGGGTCGGCCGTGGGGCTGTGGTGACCACAGAGAAGTACAGATGATGGGGATCTGCGAGGCAGTCAGAAAAACGGAGAGGTTTGAAGGTCTAGGTCCCCTTTTGTGTTTGTTGCATGGCTGTCAGAACTGTCCCCTCTCTGCTGCAGTGAATATTGAAGCACTTGCCCTTGAAGATTTGACCTACTTTCAGCTCAGTGGGATTGACTCCAGTACTTTCATACAGTACCATGGGTGCTCAGCGCCCCTTCTCCCCCGGCCTGCCTTCCCGGCTCCCCTCCCTTCCCCAGAATCTCCCAGACTCTCTGGCTCACTTCTCAGGAAACCTATACCTAGACAGTCCCTGAAGACCAGGCTCTGTTCTGAGTTATGGAGCGCCCACGGTGAACTCTGTGCTGCATGACTTCGTGTTGAGCTGTCACCAGATGGAGGGAAAGGTTAGACACACGGGGGTCCATGGGGCATGGTGAGCAAGGCCTTCTTTGGAGGTGGGCTTGCCCCTCCTCAGCCATCCCTGCATCCATCTGTGCTTTTCCCAGTCAGTGTCCACGGTGGTCCTGGTCTCCTCTGCCCTCCCCCAAGCAGATGCCTTTTTCTTCCTGCTCCAGGGCTGTTCAGAGCGAGAGGGGGAGGAAGGCAGGATCTTGGAGCAGTGCCTCCTATGCTATCAGGATTCAGCACTTAGAATCTTGGAAAGGCTCCACCTGGGAAAGAGTTCCAGAGAAAACAAACTTCAGATCCCAGCTAATATGGGAAAAGGCTCATGTTCACGGAGGCAGCTTCAGGGACCTTGGCAGAGGCTTAGGCAGGCTTGGCCCCTGCCTTTAATGGATCCGACATGGAGCCTTCCAGGACCCATGATGCTGCATGGGCTCCAAAGGAGATTTCAGTCTCCAGCTCTAATGATAAGTCTTTCATAGGAATGGTCGTCCTTGGGTCTACTGACCCAACAGCATTTACTGTTCCAACTCTTTATGCTCCAACTCAAGCAAGAAATAAGTTAAGGGCCCAAACTCGCCACCCCCCTCCCATGCCCCATCTCCTCCTCAATTCTCCCTTATCAAGTTGTTTTCCTCTTTGAGATTAGCTAGATTTTTTCTTAGAAAGGGGACAGAAGGAGGGTCTTGGGACTTGCAGGGTCATTACCCAAGTGATAAGAATCATCCTTCCAGCCCTGGGAATGGCATCCAGAAGAATAATGATGGGCACAAGTTCAGGTTGCTGTGGCCCAAGGAGGAGGATGGGAGGGAACAAGCACGTCAGGGAAGGGGCTGGACAGAATTCCTGGGGATGACCAGTCATTCCTGACTCTCTGGTACAGTGCCTTACTGCCACTGTGTGAGGCTCTGGGGACAGTGGGTGTGGACTTTATGCATGAGATAAAGCAGGTGCCCCTGTAGGTGAAGCAGTGTTAACTACGGAGCAGGGAACACCTGGCTTCTGCTTCTGGCACTGTGCACTTGAAAAATACTTCCCCATGTTTCTGTGCTTGGGGCTCAGTACTGACCATTAATTCCCCCATGTCTGCCTCTTCTGCCAGGGGTCTTTTCAAACTTAGACAATCATGGGATATTAAACTTGAAGGACAATAGAGATCATCTAGTCTCATCAACTCACTATATATATGAGGAGCCTGAGGTCCAGAGTGGGGAAGTGTCTTACCCAAGGTCACATGGTGAGTTACCTCCTTTGACGTCTATTTATATGCAGTACAGAGCCCTCCCCCAACCAGTTTCGATTCTTCAGATCTTAAGACCTCGTGGAGTCTCCAGTACGTCCCAAAGGACTGGGGGATGACTAGGTGCCCAGTGTGGGATTGGTACTAAAAATCCCTTAGGTCAGAGGAGTCTTCCAGGGAGGACGTGTCAGAGCCGAGGCGAAGGGTGCAGGAGAAGCAGGAGAGGGACGATGGCCTGGAGAAAGAACACCTCCTAGGCAGGCTTCCCAGACCAGTGCCTTCCCTTCCACCTCAGACCCGAGAGAGCCCTCGTCCCTCGTTAGCACAGGGAAGCTATCGCAGAAACCTCTCATCCTGAAGCTGAGCCTCTCTCTAAACATGACGTCATAGACAAGGATGCTTGCCTCTGTCTTCACAAAGCTGGCCCTGCTCCCTGCAGATGGAGGGCTCCCAATGTCCAGATTACTCAACTGGGTTTTGAGCATCATGTGATCCAGGAATGAGGAGGGGAAGAGTCTCAATGCAACCAACTCAGTCTGTCCCCATCACATCCCCAACATCTGGCTGTCCGTTGTGCCCTTCACATACCTGCCCATAGCTTTCAGGAAAAGAAAGGCTTGCTCCTATCTTGTCTGCAGGCACGCACGCAGACACACACACACACACACACACACACACACACACACACACACACTCTGGACAGACATTTCACAGACATTATAATCCAGGGTGGATGGAGAAACCTCCTTCTGGAGATTTGACCAGGAACACCTAAGTCTCTGGACATCCTAATTCAGTCCATGGCAGTGTGGCCAGAAAGGAGCTGAGCTGTCATGCAGATGGCTGCCATTGTCATTCCTCCAGGACACTTTGATCCTCTATAAGACTTAGAATTACAATAAGGCTGCAAGAGCAGCCATTGTTTCCTAAATTTCCCACTGAGCTGGTGAAATGAGACCAAAAGGCAACGAGAGAGCTGGCAGGCTTGGAAGAATAGCACCCTGCTACCCCCCCCCATCCCACCCGCCCCCCCGCAGGTATGGTCAAGGGAGTCTATAGAATTCCAGCTCCTAGGGGTAGAAGTGGCTCTCTGGTCCCTTAACAGTGCAAGTTCTGAGAACACATTCCCTCCCACCCCTTTCCCCCAACCCCAGTGACCCTAGTGGCTGTGCCCCTTCCCTAGATGAAGATGTTCCTCTTCTTCCATGACAATCCAAGGCCAGCCCCCGAGTATCTTGCTCCCTTCCCTTCCTCGGTTCAGTGGAGGCCGCAGCAAAATGGAGTGTTTCCTGTTTCTCTGACCATGCTTGGTTTTAAGTTAATCCCCTCCTCCTCTCCTTCCCTTTTGCTGACAATTCATTTGACGGGGTTTCCGATAGATCTGTGTCCCTATCTCCCGTTCTTTCCCCCTGCCCCCTTTCTAGCTCCCTCTCCGTTTCCCCTCCTAGTTTTGATCTTCTTTGGGGGTTTTGGTTTTTACTTTATTTTGCTTTTTTCTGTTTTTCTGTTCTTTTGTTTTTGTTTTTTATAGGTTTCAGAGAAATTATGTTGAATCCAATAAGCCTTCCCGGACATTCCAAGCCTCTTAACCATGGCATCTATGTTGAGGATGTCAGTGCTTATTTCAGCAAAGGACGTCATGGCTTTTAAAAAACTCCTTTTAAGCCTCCCTGTTTTGATGTCACCTTGGTAGGCTGGGCCCTCTGAGAGGTGGGAAGCTCTAGGCGCTGTTCTCTTTGGATCCGGGGATGCTAAGTAGAAACCGCATGAGCCACCGGTGCACCTGCACCCTTTACCACCACCGAGATGGGTGACTTCCCCCATCCGCCATTGGCAGGGTTACCCTTTCCCTCAGTCATCACTGTGCTCCTTTTTTCCCGGCCTCCGAGGCAGCTCCTGCCACCATCTTTAGAGCTGATAAAGAGAATTAAAAACCTGTGCACCAAGAACCATCTTTTAAACACACTAGCCATTCTCTTGCTTTACAAAAACAACCCAGCCAGCACGAGAAAGCCTGACTGAAGCCCAGCCGTGCTCCGGCCTCACTTACCCTGCCTGGAGAATGGGTCTCCCTAGGATACCGGGCTGTCCTCTTAATGACCTCATCGCCCTGCAGCCTCCAGCGGGGAAGAGCGGCTAAGCAGAGGTGGAGACCACGCGCTGAGAGAGGGGGAGCCAGGCCCAAGTGTTGGCACCAGATTAGGTCTCAGAGGAAAGAATGGAAACCAATCACTTTCTATCTATATATTTTTTGGTTTTTGGGTTTGTTTGTTTTGTTTTGTTTTGTTTTTTTTGGTGGAAAAAGCCAATACTTTTTTTGGACACCTTTTTCCCCTACCTTCCTCTTCTTTCTGGAATGGCTCACAGTGAGTGTGATACTAGAAAACTCCTTGGCCCCTAGATCTGCAGTCCTGACGAGCTTTGGCTGGAGGAGGCCTTGCCCATCAATTGGCCATCCTACCATGAGGGACCGAGGGAGTCAGGGGCCAAGGCCCTTCCTCTGAGTCCCTGATCCCAGGATTGGCTCTCTACCCCCACTTTCACTTACTCTTGACTCTGAGAACTTTTGGAACCCAATGGAATCACCATTTCAAGGCCAAGATGAACTGAAGGGGAAGAGATGGAAAAATTGGCTTCCTCCAGCCCCTCTCATGGCACCAGTGGAAGTGTCATCCTGTTCTCTGGTCAATATATGTGTTTACTTTGCTTGCTTTGACTCATGCCTTACTCCATGGCCACTCTCTCCCAAAGAGGGGGTTTGTTCCCCGCCTTACCCCCTGCCATTCTCAGCTTGACCCACTGGGGAGAGGGAGAGGGATGCCTTTCCCCAGCTCTGATAGGAAAGGTATTTTTGTAGAGCCTGAACCTCTCCCAGACTTGCCGCCACGTTGGCCTGGCTTGGGTACCTCCATTGCGGGAAGTCAGCACAGGCTGCCCCTTGAGGGGGTGGCAGAGAGCATGAAGCAGGGGGTCTCCCGTGGGGAGCTTCTTAGGACAAGATGGTGGTGGCTTTTAACCCCCTAAGTTTTGGGGCGGTGATGCACAGCAATAGAGAATAGATGCTCTGCCTTTGTCAAGACTCTTTGTCAAGAGTCCCACCGAAGGTTTTCCTTCATGGGTCCTATGGATGTGGTTCTTTGTGCCAGGTTCCCAGCCCGATCCTGCAGATGCCTCCCTGGGGTTTAAAATCACGAAGCTTTCCAGGTTCTTGGCCCGTGTCTGGGGTGGCCTCCCAGACACCGTAGCGTCCAGCGTATCACGTGGGGACTCAGATTTCCTCCAGGGCCTTGAGATGTGTGTTTTCCAGCCCCTGCTAGCTTCCTGACACCTTGCCCGTCCCCCCCCCCCCCACCCCAATGCTTCATGTCAGGCTCTTCCCCATCGTGTCCTGCTGACCCTCTGGGCCAGGGCCTCCTCCCGAGTGTGGCTTTAAGGAGTAAGCTTGAGGATGATGTTTTTTAATTATTGTAAATCATTACCTCATTTCCAGCCTGCCAGGCTCCATCCACCCCAGCATCTTTTATTCTGCCATTTTCTCACCTGTGCTATGACAATGGGGCGTTGTATTTCCACAGAGACTTATAGGAGTGTTCAGTGTATAGTTTCTTAATAAACACTTTATTTTCTAATGAAATGACTGCATCAGACCTCTTATTTGGCAATTCTGCAAAGAATATTAAAGACCCAGACATTCTCACATTTCCCCCCACGCCTATATTACTGTGACTCTTTTAAAGAAGCTCCATAGCTAAGTCCTGTTTACGAAAGTGTTTGCAATCTGTCACATTGGTTGTTTTCATTGAGACTCCTCCAGATAGGTCAAGTCCATCTAGTGAAGTGTTTCCTCATCCTATCAAGGAAGAATTAGAGACATAGAGAGGTTGAGTGATTCACCCAGGGTCACACAGTGCAAGAAGCAGAAGCAAGGTTCAAACTGGACTCCTCCAAACACTGCTCAGGCCACTCCTCGCCTCCTTGGTGGCCTTGGGGCTGTTTTGTTACCTGAGCAGCTGAGGTTTACCAGGATCCTTTCTTCAGAGCTGATGTGTAATTGGTTTGGGAAACAAAACTGAGGGGCCCTCGGACCAGTAAGTCAAAGGATATTCCCTCGCATGGAGCTAGTTTGTACCTTCCATGGCTCTTGAGGACATGACCTTGGCTAGAAGGGGACTGGGCTCCGGGCTTACAGGCCAGTCTGCTCACCATTCAGGGACACCCCATCCACACATCCACATGCACACCCTCAGGTGGGGCCGGACTCTCCATGGGGCTCCTGTAGGCTGCCGGGAGTGGGATGCAGGCATGGGGGTCCTACCCAGAGTAGAATGCACAAGTGAGCTGGGCACGGCCGTGTGCCCTGGGTTCCTGGCCCTGACACAGCTGGAAAGGGGTGTCCCATGCCTTCCCTAACTACAGCATCTTCCGTCTAGGAGGAGGGGCCTCTGTATGCAGGACACCTGGAGCAAGAGTGGAAGACAGGGGTGGAGGAAGTTTCCTGGGTGGGACTGGGCCTTCTACTGGGCCTCAGTAGGTGTTGTTGGAGCTCGCTTCCTTAGGTAACAGTGAGCCAGGGAGAGCAAGCGCAAGAGCTCAGGGCGGAAGTTCAACGGGGAAGTGGTCAGTCTAGGGTAGTGCTTTTTCTCCTGACCCTCATTGACTTAATCTCCTACTTAAATTGAGTCTGAGCTACCCCCGGCCTCCCCTCGAGTGGAAGTTTGTCTCCTCTCAAGTGGCCTGGGGAGGGCATTGCCCCGGCTCTGTGTTCTCTTGTCCTCGGTGGTTCTAGGGCTGGAATTGGGATGCCCGAGGGGTGAGACTCTCTTTGGGACCGTGGGGAGAACTTTGAATTTTAGCAAGAGGGAGATTTGACCTTTGCTTTGGTCTAGTGCATGGAGCTTTGGATCCTTGGGAGAGGAGGTGATGAATGGAAATGGCCCTTGAGAGGAGGGGAGGGACAGAACACAGCTCAGAGGGAGGGACCCCCCCAGCCCTGTGAAGGGAGGCCTCTTCCAATATGGCAGGAGGAACGAGGAAAGGTGGGGTGAGGGGTTTGGGGGCAGGGAAGGGCAGGAGGGCTTGTCTGGTGGCTTCTATTTTCCTGCGGAGTCCAAGGTCAGGCCTGGTGCTGTGAGTGATCTCTGAGGAGAGCTGAAAGGTGTGAGGAGCCAGGGAGAGCAGTGTTTAATGTCCGGGACTCTGTTTTCCATGTTTTCCTGTTGGGCCCGAAGTCCCCGGCATTTACTCCAGCGCCTGAGTCTCTGGGGCAATTAGAGCTGGTGCCGGGCAGACCTGGAGACCACAGCTCAGCCCAGAAGGATGCTGCCTGTATTGGCTTTGTGCAGGGAGGCTCCGGGGACCAGCAAGACCTTCTGGGCTTGGAATCTCGCCCAGAGGGTTTCACAGTGGTCTTCCTGGCCCTCGGCTTTTGGCCCTGCGGTTCAGGGCCACAGCTGACACGGGCCAGGAAGCCAGCATGTCTGCCAGGCACGAGATGGATTTTCATTCTGGAAGGGGTGTTGGAGGAGCGCTGGGTCTGAACCCTGCTCTCTGGAGCCTGGTGAGCGGGAGACTCGCTGTGTCCTTCAAGACCGTGGCGAAGACAGGGGTAGGGCCTTCCAGGGACATGCTCTAGAAAGGACCAGAGCCTTTCACAAGGGTAACATGGCCAGACCCTGGGACTGGTTCCCAAGCACCAATGAAGGGGCCCACCTGTGGGACGTTGACAACAGCCATGAAGTCCCTCGTGCAGACCCACTCCAAGCCAGGCACGTTTGACCCAGGAGGAAGCGGACCCTCAGAAAGTAACCAGCCCTGGTTTTCACAGCTTGTGACTGGAAGAACCAGGGCTGACGGGAGGTCTCCCAGACTTCACAGCATGCTCCACAGGGCAGTCTCTGGCTGCTTCTGGAAGGCTGCAGTCCTGGGGGGCTGTACAGCTACCCCTCCCGTGGAGAACAAGTCTTTCAGGGCTCTCCAAGGCTAGATGCCTTCCCCCCTAGCCTCCTTTGGGCACCACCCAAATACGGTGATTTTAAAGACTCCCCAGAAAAGGTCTTGCAATGTTTTCTTTTCATTCCATTCTAGCATTTTGTGACCCTGGGCACCTGAAAGTGTGGTCAGTCTCAGGTCTAAGGTGAATTATCTGGCTTGCAGTGGGCGAGATTCCCAGGCAGAGCATGGTGGCATCTTTGATGTTGGGTGGGGAGGGGGGCTTGTTGGGTGAGATGCCCTGTCCTCAGGATGGTGGGTGAGGCCACCCATGTTCGGGCAAGCATGAGCAGCTTCGGACAGGAAGGTGGCGGAAGGAAGGAAGATCCTTGCCTGACTCCTCCCGTCCATGCGTATTCGAACTTTCTTGTCGCATCGGAAAGACCTCCCAGTGTGTTGAAACCCAGCCACGCGCTTCTTACCCAGGAAAAGGACCAACGCTAATCAGGTGTAACGTGGAAGCCAAGAATCTGGCCTCTGGGTCTTCTCTCTTGCGTGGGATTTCCTTCCGCAGCCAAGCTCACAGCCACCACGCCCTCACCGCCACCTCTCAGCCACAGGTGTGACCTCCGCACGGATGCCACTGTGGCTAGATGCCTCTTCTGCCGGGGCCCGGTTTCCACAGGACAAGCCGAGGCATGAGTGGAGGCCCACGCATCTCCGACCCGGTAGTGGGGGGCAGGCAGGGGTTTGGTGGCACGGAGAGGCGACGAGAGTGGGTGGGTCGATGCAGGAGCATTCTGGTGCTGAGTCGTGCCAGACACGGATGAGGCAGGGGGCCTTCGTTCTTCAGTGTGCGAGGACTCTGAGCTCTGGGTAGACTCCTGCATTGCTGCCAGCGTGGTTCTGGAAGGGAGAGAGAAATGAGGGGAGGAGGGGGGAAGGTGATGGGGGGAAGTGATGCAGGGTGCCCTGGGGCCTCTCTGGGAAGGACAGGAATGGAGGGAAACTCTGATGTGTGGCAGTGGAGAAGGAGATGGGGCAGTAGGAACAGAAGAGCCATGGGGAGCCTGGTTTGCAACCAAATTGTCCATGGGGCTGGGGGTCACCCCCTCCCAATTCTTCCTGCTCGGTGGGTGGCACATCGAGGAGCCCGGGGGTCCCCTTGGAGTTGAAGCTCTGCTTGCACAGGTGATTTCTACATGGCGGACGAGGTCTGAGGTCACTCTGTACTTTTGTCCCCGCGCATCAGGACACTGCCCATCCATCACGAGAAATCTGGGTGGGGCTCAAGTGTTCCGTGTGCTCTGCGGTGGGGGACGGTGAGAGCCGGGGAGGAGGAGGAAGTGTCGGGACTGGCCTTGGAGGCGGCCCACTGGCAGCCCTCCACAAGGAACAGGCAGGAAGGGGGGTCTCTGAGGGTCCCGCATCCTGCGGGGACGTCCAGGATGCTGCGGGCTCCGATTCTGTGTCAGAGGCCTCCTGCCCAAGGCAAGGCTCAGTCCGGGCGGGTGCACTCCCGGAAGGAATTTGGGATTATCTGGGGGAGAGGGGAGAGCAGGATTCCCCAGGTCCCAGAGCACGGCCAGAGCTGTCGGGAGGTCCCGGCTGAGGGCTCTGGTGACCCTTCTCAAGCCGGGACACAGGAGACACACGAGCTCTCTGCAGGGTACCAGAGGCCACCCTGAGCTGCTCAGGGTCATGGTTTTCTCCCATGACCCTCTCTGCAAACAGGGGCTGCCAGAGGCCTCTCTGATGTAGAGAAAGTTAACTCTGGCTTGACTGAGAGCAGACAGAGGGGTACACGGTGTAATGGGAATGAGGCTTGGCTCTTCTGAGAGGCAGAGATGCTGAGCAACCCCACACCCCTCACCCCTGTCAGAGGGGTTCACACCCCACACCCCTGTCCGAGGGGTTCACACCCCCCGCCCCTGTCCGAGGGGTTCACACCCCACACCCCTGCCACAGTGGTTCACACCCCCGCCCCTGTCAGAGGGGTTCACACCCCACACCCCTGTCCGAGGGGTTCACACCCCCCGCCCCTGTCCGAGGGGTTCACACCCCACACCCCTGCTACAGTGGTTCACACCCCAGCCCCTGTCAGAGGGGTTCACACCCCCCACCCCTGTCCGAGGGGTTCACACCCCCAGCCCCTGTCAGAGGGGTTCACACCCCACACCCCTTTCAGAGCAGTTCACACCCCCAGCCCCTGTCATAGTGGTTCACACCCCACACCCTGGTCACAGCGGTTCACACCCCCCGCCCCGTCACAGCGGTTCACACCCCCCGCCCCGTCACAGCGGTTCACACCCCCCGCCCCTGCCACAGTGGTCACACCCCGCACCCCTGCCACAGTGGTTCACACCCCACGCCCCTGTCACAGCAGCATCAAGTGACATCTGCGGTTTTGAAGGGATGGTCAACACTCCCCACTCAGCAATGGAAAGGGTTTGAAGACCAAGGAGCAAGCCAGCCAAAGGTATGAATGAGTTCCAGGGGGTGCCGTCTGGTTTGTGGTTACATCACAGTTTGGGGGCAGAGCGTCAGGTCAGCTCGGATATTCCCTGCCCTCTCTGGGCCAAGCTGACTTCGGTAAGTAAAGCCTGAGTTCTTGGTGGCTAATAGTGACACCCAGCCTGTCTTCATGGCTGTCTTCCCTCCTCAGTTCCTGCTGCCCTCAGAGCTGTTACCATGGCAGCAATGTGAAGCCGGGTTCCGCCTTTGGGGACCTCCCTGGAACAATTGGCCTATCTCCCTTAAAAAGATACAGGCCTCCCTCCTTTGTCCCCAAGTTCATTCTGCAGCAAGAAGGGCAGGGACCTTTCCCTGGAAAGGTGACTTCATTGCTGTCAAATATGGGTGAGTGACACTTCCTTACAGAGCTCTGAAACCCCACCGCCTTTTACTCTGAAGCTTACACCAGCTTTGGTCTGTTTTGGTCCTTGGGATGTTGTTTTGAAATTGCAACACCGTGTGCTTTTTACTCTGCAAGGCTTGCGACGGCCTTTGGCCAAAGTCATGATATCCTGATTCCCACATGGACTTCTCGGGGGAAAGAGAGGGTGTGGGGCTGCGGGAAGGGGTCACAGGTGTCTAAAAAGAGAGGACGTGTCTGTAGCCTGTGATGTGGCTCTCCAATCCACTGCACAGGCCTGGGGAAGTATTTACCTCACACAGCCAAGGTTGTCGGGGTACCAGGAACACATCCCATTGGAAAGTCCTTGAGCTTGAAGTTGAGAAGGTTTAGATCCCTGACACAGGAAACCTCTGGACCTATAAGACTCCTCTCACTCCTAGTCTTTATCAGGCTGGACAAGCTGTCCCCAAGATCTGCCCTCTTGCTGCCAAAGTCAAGAATGGGCAAGTCTTAAAGCCTGTGTCCCATGGGCCAGCCAATGTGCGTGCTGCTCCCAGGCCCTCCTTTCAGACAGTCTTGGGAAGAGAGAAAATTCCAGAATGCAGGCTAGATGCTGAGTCCAGCCTGTCTATTCTATATACACCAAAGCGTTAGCCTTTTCTTGCTATTAGTTCTGAGAGAAAACTCACATAACAGAGAGCCTGAGGGGAAATCTCACAGCAATTTTTGTCATGAGCCACAGTGTCTACAAGTGCAGTCTGGCCAGGAGGTCACATCCAGGATCTGACTCTGACGGCTCTTATCTGAGGGCCACAGCTAAGGACCGAAGCCTTGCACTTCAGAGGAAGCCAGATGCCGTGCGGGCCAGTGAGAACTTGAGTCTGTTCTTTCCCACAGTCAGTGGGAGCAGAGAAGGCATCACAAATATAGAATGGATTCTGAGAATGTCCTTCTTGGGAGAATTTAAATTCTGAGTCCATGTTTGAATGACTCATGGAATCCTCCCATCTTTGTGGCTGTCAGTTTGGCATTTTTGCTACCATAACAGGCAGTTGCCACTAGTTACCTCTGATACCAAACAGCCAATCTCATCATGAAGAAGACCAGAATAACTCACTGTGCATTTTCAGGATGGTATTTTTGGCCACCTTAGTAGCTTTAGGGGGTCAGTCCCTTGACCATCTATTGTCTCGTGTGAATTGATGAGTTTTCTGGGCAAAGCTTCAGTTTCTGCAATATGGCTCTCTCATAATTTGAGTCCTCAACTTTCAGAGAAGCCTTTTCCTCTTACTCCAGTTATTACATAAACAATGTAATAAACAATGCTGTCAGGATCAAGTGCTCTCCTTTCCATTGGCTGCAACGATGCTTCCCTAAGAGCCCATCAAATAACTTTGGAGAATGTTGCATGGTATAGCCAAGCTCTTACACATTCACAACACACGTTAGGATGTTAAAGGCCCTGAGAAATCCTCCTTTAAATAAACCTTTAATTCTACCCCTTTCCCAATCTAATTGAACATAGACCTCTGTTAATACCTACCAATAGATTTACACACACACTTTAGGTAGCACCGGGTTATGGTGTGGTCAGAACTTCTTCTTTTAAAGCTTCTTTTAATCAACCACTGACCTTATATCTGGATGAATGACCACACTCCAATACCTTTGCTCAGCTGTTGACTCAGTCCCTACTTCTGCCTCTGCTCTGCATAGAGGCAGAAATGATTCTGGGAGCTGGTGGACAGGTACTCTTGTAAAGAGTGGCGAACCTTCACTGTGATATCTCGAAAGAAAATGGCATGTCATTTCATGTAAAAGTTTAAGACTTCAGCACTAACCCTGGCCACACTGCCAGGCTGGTGGAGTTGACACCATCTAGGGGTAGTACACAGAACTGAAGATCTGGGTTCCAATTTCAGTATTCCACTAGCAAAATGACTTGGGGTAAGTTACCTTTCCATGTTCCATATTTGTCTCTAAACTTGCTAACCCTCAGATAAAAGACTCTACCTAGACATATGCCATATCCCCATGAATCACTATTTTCTCCTGGTCGGGGACATCCTTTGGTTCTTGGGGTCACCTTTCTCTGCTGGGTGTCTTGGTGTATCACATATGAAGAATACTTTTGCCCCCTCCTGAAATGCCGGGGGGCTTGAAAGTAAGGACAGAAGTGAGAGAGAGAGAGAGATGGCTGAGAGAGATGGCTGCCCTTTTGCATGAGGGTTGGTGGATTTCTCCGGATGAGGAAGGAAGCAGTTGCTTGGGGGTTAATAGACCCTATCTGTCACAGTTGGACAGGGCCAAGAGGGAGTTCTCGGCAAGATTTTCCGACTTTGATCTCAAGAAGGCAGCTCTGCCTAACAAATAGTCTGAAATGTCAAAGAATAAATGTTAAAGCTTGAGGGGTCGTTCTCTGGGGAGTTGCCTGGGCTGGCTAGGGAGGGAGAGGAGGAGGGAGAGAGGGACACAGCAGAATCCTTCACATAAAGATTCCGACTTGGTTTTGTGATATTTAAGAAAAAAGAAAACTCTGAATTATTTATAGCACAGAAGATGGAAGCAGGCTATAGAGAAGTGGCCAGGCTTAAGATTGTGGTTCATGTTCCATTATTTATCTGCCCCAGCCTTGAACTGGTGAAACTTTCCTTGTTAGTGACATGCTATTGACCTCTCCTTGAATTATTTATTATTATTATTATTATTGCTATTGTTATTATTATCACTATTACTATTATTATATTAATTTTAAAAATTCAAGTCCTTTGACATGGGAGTTGGGGGGAGGCAATTTCTAGAAACAGTTGTTCCAAAAAGCAGGAGTTATCTCTTCCTCTTGAAGGATCTCAGCATGTCCTTCACCACCCCCTTCCACACCCAACAGCTTGTATAGTGCTCCTGTATTGATGTGAAGCATCTTGGTTTGAGCCTGGCTTCCAATTGGCCATGTTGGTATCATTTCATCATGGTGGATATTATCTCCTGATATGTTCCATTTGCAAAATGGAGGCAATTATCATTTGCCTTTTCTGGGTATGCTGGGGAAGTGAATGATGCTGTGTGTTCAGAACGCCTCAGTGCCTGGGTAGGGGTGGAGGGCAGAGAAAATAGCATCAATGTTATGTGAGGGGGGGGAAAGGAATTAAAGAAATTTAAAAAGGGAAAATCAGAAGTGATAGAAGGATTAGTGTTAAGGCTGGAAAGAATGAGGTCTTTCATCTGCTTATTTTGGACAGTGATGTTGTTTAGATGTTTAAAAAAGTGCTTCTGTTTGCTAATCACATCCTGATTCTATAGCATGGGTAATTGAAATCCATTGATAATCTCAGAATTGCAGTTAAATTAAAAATGACAAGCTTCAGATGCTCTCCCTTCTCTCTCCACAAATAATACAAATGCATTCTCAGTCCCTGTGCCTCTAATTGTTTTGCACATCTTGGACACTCTTGGAGATGCAAGCAAATGGAGCCAGTTTTTGACAGGTTGGGGACATTGAGGTGAAGTTAGTCCAAGTGCAAATCCATCTTCAGTAAGCCTCCAAAGAAGCGTGATTGCGTTTATTCTGTATTACTTTTATTGTAAATATTAATACTTCTGCTATTTTTTCTAGACTTGTTATTTTCCCCACCTAGAAGAACCTAGAGAACATTTTGCAGCTAAAATGTCACAGTGACACTCCTGTTATAAAACTCTGAAAATGTACTTATTTTTATACTCGGTAACTTACCCTACCTCTGAGAAAGGTCTTCAAAATATTTTTCCTCCACTGCCTGCTTTCGGGGACGTAGAAGTGTGACCAGCATTGTTGCTATAGGGTAGTGGCTCTCCGACTTCTTGGTCTTGGGACCCCTTTACAATCTTAAAAATTATGAGGACCCTAAAGAGCTTTTGCATATGTGGATGAGATCCATCTCCATTTATTGCAGTTGAAATCAGAAGTGAGCAAGATTTAAAGACACAAGCCCATGCACACATCCCAGTTAGCCATCTGGTGATGTCATCACACAGCAGGAAGGCATTGGAAAAACTCCACATATACCTGTAAGAGAATGAGAAGGGGGGGAAAATGCATAGACCATCTCAATAGACCTTAGTAGACCTTAGGCTTTAGACCTTCCAAGGAAAATAGTTTTAACACTTGGCTCTCCTGATAGGGTCCTGGGGCCACCAGGAGTGTCTGGACCACATTTTGAGACCTGCTGCTGTAGGGAAACTGAGGCACAAGCAGCTCCTCAAGTCTGGGTCCCTTTGTTGTCAGTGAATGATGCCAGTCATGCACTTTGCTCCAAGTATAGGGCTACCATCAGAACCCCATTTCTTCATGCAGATACCACTGATTATGCAGCTACTCAGTTGCTAGGAATATGGGAAATACACAAGAAGGACTTCATCTATTCTGAAGAAGACCGAGTGATGGATGTTTGCTTGCTCTGGAGAAGGAAAATGGGCTTGCTGTAGCAGTAAGCATGATGGGCTGATGGAAGAGACTCATCACGAAAAGGGCTTTAAAATCCTGATGGTAAAAAAGGGTGAAATGAATGGCATGGAATGAAGGGAATTTACAATCAGCACCTTGCAGGTCAGAAGTCCAACCATGTGCATCCTAAACCTCCAAGTGCATCACATTTGGATCTGTCTAAGGAACGTGTGGGGCTCAGCTGTGTTCTGCCAGGACCCATAGGGATGTCTGTTTAAGTTTAGAGACCCTGACCCTTCCCTCACACTCCTGACCTGGGCAGTTCTGGTAGAGGGAGATAAGACTGTGAAGTGCATAACATCTCAGAGACCCTTGGGTTAACTGTGCACATCTCAGGCAGTCCTGGGTGCTTGGTGCTGTTCTTTCAGTCTCTTGTCATTTGTACCTTCATACCCCGGATTTATCTTTCATACCACAGGGGCCAAGAACTGCTCTCAGCTTGTTCTGAGATGCCCTTTGGCACCAGTACTTGACAATCCTCCCCAGGAGAATAGGGCCTTTCAAGAATATTTCTGAGGTCAT